AAAGGGCATTATTAGGAAACTAATAATCCCCGGTACTCCTCAACAAAATAGAGTTGCTAAAAGGAGAAACAGAACTCTTCTTGACATGGTTAGATCAATAATGGCATAAGCTATGCTACCAACCTCATACTTGGGAAATGCTCTTCTAACTGCCACATTCATGCTTAACCGAGTGCCTTCTAAATTAGTCACCACAACCCCTTACGAACCATGGACAAACCATAAACCAGATCTAAGTATTCTAAGACCATGAGGGTCAACGGTCTATATTTGTGATTCTTCCCATAAGTATGACAAGCTAGAACCAAAGGGTAAAAAGTGTATCTTTATAAGATACTCTGAGAACTCTAAGAGATGCAACTTTATTGGTGGAAATAATGATGGCTCAGTGACTGAGAGAGAGTCAAGGGACACAACATTCATAGAAATTGAAATTCCATAGCAGATGGAGTATTGATCGAACAAGCTATCTTTATGAAAATGATAGCAATGATGTACAACAAAGTGTTCCTCAGTCTACTAATTCAAGTAGGAGGGTTGAACTGTTTTCACAATAAGGTTTGACTGGATGAAAGTCCTACAGCAACCCCACTTAGGAGAAGCAACAAAGACAAAACTCCTAAGAAACGCTTCTCAATTGAAGGAGCAACTTTCATTGTTAGTCTAGAAAATGATGAAGAAGACCCTATAAGTGTTAAAAAAACACTAAAAGGGCCTCTTAAGAAAAAATGGCAAAAGGCCTTACAAGAGAAAAATAGATTTCATGGAGTCCAACCAAGTATCAAAATTAGTTGATCTACTACTTGGTTGAAAGGAATTGGGAGCAAGTGGGTTCTCAAGTATAAACGCAAGACTGATGGATCAATTAATAAACCCAAAGCAAGGTTAGTTGCTAAAGGGTAGACACAACAAGAAGGAGTTGATTATAGAGACACTTTCTCACCTGTTGTATGTTTGAACTCGATATGATTGATACTAGCCCTAGTAGAAAGTTTATACCTAGAGTTGCATCAAATGGATGTAAGAACTATTTTTCTAAATAGAGAATTAGATGAATAAATCTATATGGAAGAGCCTGAAGGCTTCATACCGAGAGGGATTGAACAAAAGGTTTGTAAACTCTTGAGATCCATTTATGAACTCAAGCAATCATCTAGGCAAGGATACTTGAGGTTCCACAAAGTTATAAGCTCATATGACTTCAAAATGATCAAGAAAGATCAATGTGTTTATATCAAATATTTTGGAGACAATTTTGTCATTCTATCCCTTTATGTCAATGACATACTCCTAGCTAGTACTAATCTCAAACTAACCAAGATAATCAAAGAGTGATTATCCTTGAACCTCATGATGAAAGACGTGGGCAAAGTAGAATATATCTTAGGTATTGAGATAAGAAGAGATAGTTCTAGGAAATTGCTATCATTGTCACAAAAGACATACATAGCAAAGATTCTTAAGCGTTTCAATATAGATGGTAAGCCTATAATACCCCTATTGTTAAAGGATATAACCTAAGCGAGGAAACGTGTTAAAAGAATGTGATATAGAACGCATAAAGAGAGTCCCATACTCAAGTGCCATTGGTAGCCTAATGTAAGTTGTGTTGTGTACCAAGCCAGACATATACTTCGCAGTTGGACTTGTGAGTCGATTCTAATCCGATCCAGGAGTAAAACACTGGGAAGCTGTAAAGAGGATTATGAGATCTCTAAAAGGAACCATGGACTATGAGTTGTGCTATCAAGAAAATAGCTTTCGTGCATAGGGTTATTCCGATGCTGATTGGGCAGGAGACTTGGACAAGTGACACTTGACGTCAATCTATGCATTCCTACTAAACAATGGAGCAATCTCTTAGAGTGGCAAGAAACAAACATGTGTGTCTCTTTTATCCATGGACGCAGAATACGTAGTATGTTCTATAGTTGTCTAAGAAGCTATATGGTTCAAAAGATATATTTAAATATCCAGATTCAAATTCAAACAAATAGGCTCAGTGGATATTTTGGCTTTCTAAAATACCCCTGGCCAAAGTTATAAATAGAGGCCTCCACCTATTATTTTCAACTTACTCTAATAGTTGAGCTTTCCTACTCTCTCTCTTTCTCTTATATTATTTCTTGCAAAGAGGTGCTTTGCTATGCACTCAAAGCTTAGACTTTTATAGTCTAGCTTATAGCCTAACCTCAGAGGATCAAACCGACTTGACCCGAGATCTGACCCAGTACGTTCTCTAGTCAAATCTTTTATTTATCTGACATATACCATCAATGTCACTATATTTGGAGAACGGAAGCCATAGAGCCAAGTTTAGAGGACATTGTTGAACTCAGCTTAGCTTGTCTTGAAGGTGCAAATAACATATGTATGTATTGCAATGCAACTTATGAGGTAACTTGGAAGGAGCTATGGTAGGGAGATATTATGTGCATCCACTATATTATATTATTGAAAAGCATTTAATAAATAGAACAATGAAAAAAACTAAAGTCCAGCTAGTTAGTAACTGTGAACTTGATAGCTATATCTGCACATGTAAGGTGAATATTGAAAATCCTTCTTGTGTTTTCTTCTATTTCTTTCTAACACTTGATAGCTATAACCTTCCTAATCTTTAAAAATTAAGAACTCTAATACTTTATGTTTTAATTTAATTATTAACTCTCGTGCCATTAAAATTATTTGAGAATCTCATCCAAACTTAGTGGGTTGCGATGCTGTAAGCCATTAACTTTATATTTTTTTTATTATATACTTTCTCATTTAAAAAATAATACTAGGTGCTTAACATATAATTTGGCATATTTTATACTTTTTTAAAAAAAAACTTGATCAAATAAATATTTTTAAATTTTTTTTGTATTAAAACATCTTATTTCAAGTATTTAAAAATATTTAAAATTACATGTCAAATGTCAAGTGTTATTTTTTTAAAAAATGACATAGCATACAGTAAAAATATAAAAATTTGACATGAAAAAATTGTTACTTTTTTATAGTAATTTTAATGGAAGGAGACTTGATAGCCAAAATACTAAACATTAAGATTTTTTTAAGTTACAAATAACTAAGTTATGTAAGTTAAGAAGTCAGTTAAAATTGGTTAAAGATACTAAATAGATAAAAATGTTTGTTTAAATATAATTTTATATTTTTTTATAATAGTATACTTTTATTTATAGTGAGGGTGAATGAGAAAAAAAGTGATTTGAGAACTAATTTAATAGTTATTAATGTCTAGACATCCATCAATTAGGGATTAAAAAAGGTGGGCAACGGACATGTTTTATGGAAAAAGAAAAAGGGATAAGAAAAGGGGTCTTCATTCAGTACTCATCACAAGGTTGAGCATTATGTGCTCATTACTGTAATGCAATCTCAACCATCTCAACCTGATATGGATGGTTTAAATTCAAAATTTTTAATATACAATTTTTTCAATGATAAATTTATTTTAAAAGATATGTTAGTTATAATGTTATATTGATTTTAAATTCTATATCTATTAAAACAAAAAGTTGATTAAAATATATAAAAAAATTTAAATTCAATCTGAACTATTTAAAATCGATCTGGATGGTCTAAAATTATGATGAGCATAAAGTGATATGCATGGAATGGGCTTCTAAAAAAAAGTGCATTGAAATTGGAAGAGTTGTAATAAGGTCATATAGTAGGAATGGATTCGCAAAAAAATTCCTTAACAAATGAGTAGATTGTAATGATGAGTTCTAGAACAAGAAATGGCAATTAAGTTTAGTTGTTCACTCATCATTTAGATTTTTTAATAATTAGTTTCCTTTTCTCCTATTGAAATTTTCAAAATCTTTAGAGTGTAAGTTATAAAATGTACTACACTTGTTTCAAAAAGTTATAATATAAATAAATGTGTAAATGTGTGCTTGCTTGTCTCTTGATTTATTGGTTGATGGTATAGGCATATACTTGTACCGGACTTACCCACTCACTATCTGATATGGAATAGATGATCCCAGCACTCAACAACTTAGAGACTTCCTTCTTAACCACATCCAGAATGAAAGGATTCAGTTTCCTCTGTGGTTGTTTAACTAGCTTGGACCCTTCATTTAGAAGGATCTTGTGTGTTCAAACTAAGGGATTAATCCTTGGAATGTCCCCTAAAGACCATCCAATAGCCCCTTTTTGACTCTCTAACATAGAAATCAATCTTTCATCTTCAGAACTACTCAAAGAACTGGAAATAATAACAGGCAATTTGGATTCAGTAGTAAGAAAGACATATTTCAAGTTAGGGGGAAGGGGTTTCAGTTCTAAATCAGGAGGTTGCACAACAGAAGGAACTAATTCTTTTATGTCAAGTGCATTTGAAGCAAGTGGTGTGTTCATGTGGCTTGGGGAAGGAGACATAAGCTCAACATGATGTGTATGTCCTCCACTTCCCAGCTTAGTGCCACTTTTAGATAACCTACAAAAAGGAGGATCGGTATCAATCTTATCAACAGAAACATTGAGTAAATCACAAGGAAGAGTGGGATTAGAAGTGACTAAGTCAGTAACAAGCTTGTTGCTAGCCTTTTCTAATATTCCAGCACCACTTACAGGAGAAGCTACCGGCGTAGCTTGTGTAACAACTCCTTTATCATTAGTACTTGCAAAATCAACAAACTCACCCTTCTCAAGGCTATCATTAGGTGTAATGTTCAAAACATAATCACAGTTGAGACAAAATAATGTATAAAAATCATAGGAGATGGAAAGGAGGTGATCAACTTTTGAACAGTTAACGCACACCACGTCACCATAACATGAGCAAAAAAAGAAGAAGAATGAGGGGTAGATATACAAGTAAATGCATTATCATTCTCAACAATCTCATCATACCAGTCATGTTCATGCATCTCAGATTCATGCAAATCATCAACATCATTAACAGCACAATCAATTAAATTAACACCCAAGCAAGAGCAATCTGTATAACCTTGACTCATAGCATCAGAAATGTTGAAGGTAATCTATTGGTCCCCAAAGCCCATGGTAATGACCCCATCTTTCACATTAATTATGGTTTGGGCTGTTCTAAGAAAAGTTCTTCCTAGAATCAAAGTGCTATCAGCTTTAATCTCATCAGTCATATCTAGCATGTAGAAGTCAACTGGTAACACAAGACCCTTCACTTGTATAAGAACATCCTTAAGAAAGCCCTTAGGGTGTGTCACAGTCCTATTAGCTAGACCTAGCACAACAGTGGTGTCTTTTAAGGCACTAATACCTGAACTCTCATAAATAACATTTATGGCTACACCTAAGTCTAGTAAGGCAAGTGAAATGTCTGTTTTGCCTATAGTATAGGAAATAATATAGGAACCCAGGTCTTTACACTTAATAAGTAGCTGTGGCTTAAAGATAGCACTAACACTAGACCCTAGTTGGATTCTCTCACTATGTCTATACTTCCTCTTGTTTGTAATAGATCTTTCAAAAACATAGCACACTTAGGTATCCTCTTAATCAAATCAAGTAATAGAATATTAACCTCAAGTTTGCTAAACATTTTGAAAAGCTCATCATTATCTTTCTTTTCAACAACTTTCTTACTCATGAGATAGGAATGAGGAAAAGGCAAGTCAGAAATGTTTACCTCATCACCTTTGGAAGGTGATCCCTTCTCTATTGGCCCTTACTTAGTAGCTTCAGACTCCCTTTTCTCCTGAGTCAATGATTGCTTAAGGGATTGCTTTAAGAGCCTTTTCTCTTTAGTACTTTTGGATTGAATAGAGGTCTCTTAAGTGGCCTTGGGAATGTCTTGAGTGGTTTTAGAAAGAAGAGACTCAACTTTTATTTCTTCGTCAACCGTTTCTTCATCCTTATCATCATCTTTGAATTACACTTACTTAGCACCAATTTCCTTACCACTTTTCAATGTGATTGCATTCAAAGATTTAGAATGTATCATCGTGTTGGAAGGCACTGACCCACTAGCCTTAGCTTGCTGTTCACTCATACCATTTGACAACTTAGTGACGTAAGAAGTCAAATTAGAGTTTCTAGTCTCCCATTGCTCCATCCTATTCTCTAGGGTTGCAAATCCAGCTTCAAATTTAGCTTCACACTTAGATATATGCTCATTCATTGCCTCAATGCCCTTGAGTATTAGAGAGAACCGCTCATCATCCTTGGACTACGGTTGTTGTGGGGTAGGCTCTGGTCTAGAAGATTCTCCTTGTAACCCCCCATAGTAAGATTGCCTTGAGGAACCATATTCCCTTAAAACCCTTCTTGAACTTGCCTATCATCACCTCCTCCCTATCCAAAATTTGGATATGCTTTCCACTCTTCATTATATGTATTTAAGTATGTGTTCTATTGCTTAGATTGATTGGCCCTTCCTTGATACATGGTGAAAACTTCCTCATATCTATGAGAGCAAGTAGCAGAGATATGCATAACAAAGTTACAATGCTCACAACTAGGTGTAGCCATCTCCATAGAATTAGGATTCTAAGTGTCAACAGGGGGAATGTGAGATGCAAGCTTATAAACTGTGTAGTCAAAGTAGCAATTTGAGAAGTGAATGTGTCTAATTTAGGAATGTAGACTGAAGAAGGATTAGTATGCATTGCATTGACATTTTTAGACTCCCTTCTGCTATACTGTTGATGGTTCAAGGCCATTTTCTTAATAAGTTCCTATGTCTCCTTAGCGGTCAAATCAATGAGAGAACCCCAAGAAGCAGCATCCAATATCCCCTTATTTGAGTCTTAGGTCTATCATAAAAGTATTGGACTAACTGTTTATCTGGAATATGATGGTGTGGACATTTAGAAAGCAAGTCTTGAAAATGGTTCCAATAGTCAAAAAGTGGCTCATCATATTCTTTCTTTGCAAAGTAGATCTCTTTTCTCAGTCTGAAAGTCCGAGAAATAGGGAAATACTTCTCCAAGAATGCTTTTCTGAGATTGTTCCAGTTATGGTATTCTGGCACCTTGCCCTCTAGAGACAAATGGAATACCTTCCAAAAAACCTCATCCAAACTAGCCTTGACCGGCTTCATACTAGAATATACTATAGATAGAGATTTCAGATGATTGTACGTGTCCTCACCTGTCAAACCATAGAATTTAGGCAAAGAATTAACTAGTGGACCTTTAATTTTAAAATTGACATCAACATTAGGGCATGCAACATTGAAAGGATCATAATTTGCATTAGAAGTAGTGGCTTCCCTAATAGTTCTTCTTCCAGGGTTACCTCCATCATTCTTACCTACTCTATCATGTTCCCTACTATGTCCATTGCCGCCTCTACCATTACCACCATTGGGATTGTTATTACCATTAGGGTTGTTAACAATTTCTATTACGTCACCTAAGTCAACCACCAAATCTAGACTAGTTGGAGTGTTTAGTTCAACCTCAGGATCGATAGACACACTAAATTCACTAGAGGACAAGTTAGACTCGTGTGAAAGATTTTCCTCTTCAATTATAATCTCACTAGTCCTTTCTACCCTCTAGTCTTGTCTAACTTTCCTTAAAGAACTTTGAAGCTTAGAATTGGAAGGAACTAGGAAGTATTAGAAAAAAGACTTTTAACGTCGCCAAATAACGACGGTTAACAAGAAAAACACTATGGGAAAAAAGACGGTGGCATTTTCATAAATAAGTATTGTGACGGTTGATTTTTCACATCGATTATTTAGAAAACCGTCATGAAAAGTGTTTTTAACAACGGTAATAACCGCCGTTAAAAACACTTTTTCACTGCGGTTTTCTAAATAACCGCCATGGAAAGTTTTAAAATAACCCGATCGCAGGTTTAGTTTCTTTCATTTTCACAATTTTGTTTCAGTGTGCTGTGGTCCCCCTCTGTCCCACCACTAACAACCTTCTATTACCAGCCATTCCCTCCCTTTTTCCACTATTTAAACTCCTTCATTTAGCTTGCGGTTTCTTGCCACCATTCATTGCCATTTAAACGTCCTTCTTCTTGCATTTGAATCGTCTCTGCTGAGTGAGTAGTCTCTTTTTTTCATTTTTTTTTCAATTGTTCTTGGTTTCTTGAATGTTTTGACCATAAAAATCTGTTGTATTTCAAATGGGTTTGTTAGTTTTATATTGTAGTTGGCTTGCATTGTTGATTTTGCATTTTTAATGTGCTTGAGGTATTGTTTGATGGCATTTGATGTGAGAAAACCTCAATTGCTTCCTATCTACAGTATTAGAAACATGTTTAAACATTTGAAGTTGATTAGTTTTGAAGTTTTTGATTTTTTTTATAATTTTCTTATATTTATTTTGAATTTTTGGTAATTTTTTGTAATAAATTTGTGAATTTAGTAATAAATAATCTGTTCAGTGTTTTGTCAATATTTTTTTTGGTTATGAACTTTGATTGATGAGAAAGTGTTGTTTAAAATTTTATTACCAATGGATATCATTTGTGTTCCCGTTTTGGATTCAAAAGTTTTAGTTTTAAGAATCTTTACTTATTGAATTGGTTTGAAATTGAATTTTTATTTTTATTTTATTTGTTATATTTTTTCAAATTTATCCTGTCTTTAATTTGTTTATTACATTGTTAAGTTGATTTGGTTGATTGATTGATTTGTTTATATTTTAAATAATTTGGGATTTGTTATAAGAAAAATTAGAATGGAGGATCTAAAGGGAATAATATTTTTACAAAAATTTACTTTTTTAAGTATATATGTGTATTAATTTATTTTTACAAAAAGTGAATTTTATATACAAATCTACTTTTATTTTTTTCTATAACTTTAAATTAAAAACAAGTGTTTGAAAAGAAATTATATTGAATTAATTGAATAGTTTTATAAAACTTTATACATATTGAAATATGTTATGAAGAATAGTTTTAATGTTGATTAAAATAATTTTTGTTTAACTATTTTACAAAACTTATATATGTTTATTTGACTTTTTATTTTTATCAATATTTTTGCTCATTCACTATATATACCAATTTTTAAGAAATTACTTAATCTAATTTTGAAAAGTAATTATATATTTAATTTTTTATTATTTTAAAAAAAGAGACATTCCCTTTAATTTGTAATTAAGTGTTAGTCAATTTTAATTTATTGACTAACATTTAATTATTTTATTATTTCAATATTTGAATTAAGGAGTTAAAATTGAGCTTGACAACTATATTCATTGACTTTGTAGAATAATGGATCGTAGTTGGATGAAAGCTAAGAGAATTAGCGAAGAATATGAGGATGAGGTTGAAAGATTTCTTGAGTTTGGTCAGAGAAATACCCCTAGTAAAAGGATGGATTGTATTATTGTCCTTGTGTCAGATGCTTAAACAATAGTCGAGAGAGTATTTCTGAGATAAAAGAGCATCTTATCTATGATGGAATAAATTTGAGGTATACAAATTAGATATGGCTTGGAGAAATTGGAAAGACTACACTGTTTGGAAAGGAGAAGGTTGTAAATGAAGACTCTAGTGATAGAGTTTTGGATATGCTTCGTGATATAAGGTCTGAATCCTCTACATAGTTCTCTCCTACTTTTGAAACTTTGTGTAGTGATCCAGAGACACCTTTATACCCAGGGTGTAATGATGACCACACAAAATTGATGAACTTGAAGGCAAGAAATAGTTGGATCGATACTAGTTTCACGGAATTACTTGAACTGCTAAGTGATATTCTTTCAAAAGGGAATTCACTTCCAAAACGAATGTATGAGGCAAAGAAAATTTTGTGTCCGATGGGTTTGGAATATGAGAAGATACATGCATGTCCTAATGACTGTATATTATTCAGATATGAGTATGAAGGGTTGAATAAATGCCCTAAATGTGGGACTTCAAGATACAAAGTTAAGAAAGATGATGTTGATTATAATGAGATAACTAAAGGTTCTCCTTTGAAGGTTCTGTGGTATCTTCTAATAATACTGGGATTTAAGTATCTATTTGCTAACGCCATAGATGCAAAAAACTTGAGATGGCATTTCGATGAGAAAATATGTGATGGAAAGCTTTGTTACCCAGCAGATTCTCCTCAATGGAAAACAATAGATCAAAAATTTTCCTCAATTTGTTAGCAAGCCAAGAAACGTTTGGCTAAGGCTTTGTATGGAAGGAATTAACCCATATAGTAATCTTAGTAGCACACAGAGTGGTTGGCTGGTACTCCTTGTAATCTACAACTTGCCTCCTTGGTTATGTATGAAAAGAAAGTATATCACGCTATCTTTTATGATCTCGGGACCAAAACAACCGGGAAATGATATCGATGTGTATTTGACACCTTTGATTGAGGATCTAAAGAAATTATGGGAGGAAGGTGTTGATATACTTGATGCATATAAACAAGAGACCTTTAATTTACGTGCCATAATCTTCACCACGATAAATGACTTTTCGGCATATGAAAATTTGTCAGGATACAGTGTTAAGGGGCATAAAGCATGTTTGATATATGAAGAAGGTGCTCACTATATGCAACTTAAACATGGTAGGAAGACGATATATCTTGGTCACAGAAGGTTTCTTAGTTGGCACCACTTTTACTGTAGTTTGAAGAAGGCATTTAACGGCTCACAAGAATATGAAATGGCTCCAATACCATTAACCGGAGAAGAAATTTATTAGCAAGTAGAGAGAATTAATATGGTCTTCGGTAAAAAGAAGGAGGAGGCTACCAATGAGAGGAATATATGAGAAAAAAGATCTATCTTTTTTTATCTTCCATATAGGCAAAGTCTTGATGTGAGGCATTGTCTAGATGTGATGCATGTGGAGAAGAATGTATGTGAGAGCCTTGTTGGTACACTTTTACATATAAGTGGAAAGACTAAAGATGGAATCAATGAAAGACATGACTTAGTCGAATTTGGAATAAGAAAAGTCCTCCACCCACAAGAAAGAGATGGTAAGAGAGCTTATTTACATCCAGTTGCGCACACATTATCAAAAGAAGATAACAGGGATGAAGTCTGTGGTTTTGTCAATAGCATTAAGGTGCCACAAGGTTATTCTTCTAATTTGAGCAAACTTGTTTCAATGCAAGATTTGAAGATAATAGGGATGAAGTCTCATGATTGTCACGTGTTGATGCAACAATTACTTCCACTTACTATTCGAGGCATTATG